CTGCATCACTGTAATTAAGATTTTAATTTAATTATTTTTTTAATTTCCCCATCGTTAGTTTTCAGGTTATAGTCAGTGAAGTTTGAGTTTGCGCTGTTCAAAAAAAAGTATAGCGACACATTTCCACTCGGATGTGACAGTAAGACGGTGACTCGCAGCTCCTCTTTCTTTTCAGAGAAACTTTAGAGAAGTAAAACTACACCTCTGTTTGTTTTTTATCACCAGAAAATGCAACATGATGATCTGATGATAAACGGTGAGCTTAAAAATATTTCTATTTTTTGTAACTGACTAAAAACTTTGACGTTTTAAAAAATAAAATTGAACTTGAAGTTGTGTTTTTCTAAAAGCAAATTTAAACATAAATCTGATGACTTAAAAAATGTGACATTATTCAATTAGCAATGTCAATGCTGAAGACATTTATTGGAGGTTGTTTATTGACTGATTTTTAAAAGCACCACACATTCTGTAGTTTTTCTTAGGTGAAACATGATATACAGTTTTATAAACTATCGTGCGATTATTTCTGTGATTAAATTGATGATTTCATGTAGATACTGGTCTGGATGGCTAGACGATGGTCACCCAGAGCAGGAAGTATATAAAAGTAGCTGCATGCCTGAACACATCTTCAACACATAGTAACTGAATGTAAAAGAAACACTAGCTGGAAACACTAAATGTTTAATTTGTTACACCATAAAAAATTAAATGCTAAGTATAACAGCTTTGTTGTATATTTTTGTTACGGACTGATGAACAACACCCCACAGCATTTTAAAAGATAAATTAGCACAAAATGTTGAAAAAGTAATCATTGTTTCTCCATGTCTGTCTTCTGCAGATGGTCATTAAAAAACATCAAAATCAACAAAGCTAATCATCACTGCCACAATGAAAAGGGGAAGTTTGTCTTCATCTTTCACTCTGACTTTTTTCTGCTTCCTGATTTCTATCAACTCCTCTTCCACCTATTCGTTGAAAAACTGCACAATTTTTTATCAGGAGAATCCCTCTGTTGGTGTTTCGTTGGACTGTACAAGCAGGAAACTCATGACTGTTCCTGATGACCTCCCCAGAAACACGGTTTCAATAACACTTTTTGATAATGTAATTGAAAAAATTAACAAAGAAGATTTTAGTGGCATGTCAAAACTCAGACATCTGCTTCTTGAGTCCAATCGAATTGCTTCTGTGGATTGTGGGTCTTTCATAGATTTGGTTTCGCTAAAAATACTTAACATGAACTACAACAGTCTCAYCTCCTTGACTGGCAACATGTTTCAGGGTCTGTCCAACCTTACTGTGCTCTATCTCCATGAAAACAATATTCAGTTCATCCAGTCTTCAGCCTTCCAGTTCCTGATCAGCTTAGAAACATTGTATTTAACTGAAAATAAGCTCCAACAAGTGACTGACATTCAACCCATTTTACAACTACCACAAATACAGAAGCTTGACCTTAGCTGCAGCTATTTTTCTTCCTTTGAGACCAAAAACCTGTTGTTCAATCTTTCAAGTCTTAAAGAGTTGGCTATTTCTGGCCACTTTTTCAAAAATTTTAGCATCACAACACCAGTATTTCCTTACCTTCAGAAGTTAGATCTGACTGCATGTGGATATGGATTCATAAAATGGGACATACCTGACAGAACTTTACTGAGGAACATCACACATCTGTACCTAAATCAACCTGTGTTGTCATTTGAAGGGATTCAAACAGTCCTGCAGAGTCTCGACTCATTGAAGCATCTTAGAATGAATTATGTGAAAACTTGGATTGAGAAGGGATTGTTGTCTACGGTCTGCAAAATACCAACGCTTCGAACACTGGATTTATATTTTAACCATTTTAACAAGCTGACTCTTAATCTTACGTCTTGCAGTCAGGTGACAGAGCTTGACCTGGCGCACACGCTCATATCTCAACTCCCAAAAGGTTCAATACAATCAATGAAGAACCTGCGTTCCTTAAATGTAAGTACAAACCTTCTGACCAAATTTCCACCTGACATAAGGAGCCTCATCTTCCTTGAGAACTTGAGTATGATGGACAATCTTATCTCTGAGGTGACCTGTGAGGACTTTGTGAACACAACACACCTTACAGAGCTTTACCTGGGCGGTAACCATATTTCCAAACTGGAAAAGTGTGTGTTTGAAAATCTTACCAAACTAAAGTCTTTAGATCTGAGTTTTAATTTYCTGCTGACCTTGGAGGACACCTTCAAAGTTGCCCTTTGTAGGTTAGAGACTTTGGATTTAAGCCACAACTCTATTAAAACCCTCAGAATGGGTGATTTTCAAGGTTTACAGTCACTAAAACAGTTAACTGTGCAATCAAACTCCATTGAAATGGCAGAATTTAAAACGTTTGAAGGACTACACAACCTTGAAGAAATRAGTGTATCCCTTTCACATGAATACAAAGCTGACATCACAGAATTACAGCTCTTCAAAAACTCTACAATCCACCAAAATATTGATAGCATTGTTAATATTTCTCAGTTTAAAAATGATGAAGGCTCGCCTCACTTCGAACAGTTGAAAAGTCTCACAGTGATTTGCGGCAAAAGTTACCGTGGTTCTCCACTTGATGTGTCAAAGCAAATGCTCCAAACTATGAAACATTTGGAAAAGTTTAATGCTGTTAATATCTATGGTAATGCTCCAAAAGTGGACATGTTTCAGTTCAACCACCAGCTCAAAAGTCTGACATTTACAGACACCGATTTATCAGATTTAGATCCAAAGCTTTTTCAAGAAACCCCAAACCTGGAGACTTTTGAGATTTTTAACGCCAAGCTCAAGTCTTTGGATTTTCTTGTGAGGGCCAACCTTTCTGCTCTCAGTTATCTGAAAGTGACTGAAAATGAGATCAATGTGGTTAATGAGACAGTCATTAACTCTCTCCCATCTCTAACGTACCTGGACCTGAGCAATAACCTATTCACCTGTGACTGCTCCAATGCATATTTTATCCAGTGGATAAACAGCAACAAGCAAACACAGGTGGTAAACGCACATCARTATAAATGTTCCTTTCCTGTGGACAAACAAGGAACCTTGTTACTAGACTTTGACTTTCGGTCCTGTTGGAACGATGGCAGCTTCTACTACTTCCTCTGCAGCACTTGTCTGGTTCTTCTGACTCTCCTCACATCCTTCATCTACCACTTCCTGAGGTGGCAGCTGGCCTACACATTCCACCTCTTCCTGGCCTTTCTCTACGACAGCAGGAGGAGGGAGATGGCAGATCCTCATCAGTTTGATGCCTTTGTGTCCTACAACGTCCACGATKAGGACTGGGTTTACAGAGAGATGCTTCCGGTGCTGGAGGGAGAGCAGGGCTGGAGACTCTGCCTGCACCACAGAGACTTCCAACCAGGTCAACTCTCTCTCTCTCTCTGTCAGAACAATTTATTCTACCTACCAGAAGCTTTTGGCTTCAGATTATTAGGAATGTTTCAGCAATTTTTAGGCATCTGTGGCATTTTCATTTTCAGTTTTAGTAACTTTCACTACCTGGTATTAGATTACAATTCATAAAACAGATCACATTTGTTGTGTCCACAGGTAAACCCATCATGGAGAACATCACTGATGCCATTTATGGCAGCAGGAAGACCATCTGTGTGATCAGCCGYCACTACCTGCAGAGTGAATGGTGCTCCAGAGAGATCCAGATGGCCAGGTGGGRGYGCWGTTTCAWWTATACAGTTTTCTAAGAAACAGGAAAAGTTAAAGTTTTGTTCATTTAGGTATTTTGAAATGTTTTAAAAGTTTTCACTTTCACATATTGACACTTTATTACAGAAACGATTTCTCTTTCGTCTTCCTTCTTGCAGCTTCCGTCTGTTTGATGAACAGAAGGATGTGTTGATCCTGCTGTTTCTGGAGGAGATCCCCTCTCGTCATCTGTCTCCGTACTACCGCATGAGGAAGCTGATAAAGAAACGCACCTACCTGAGCTGGCCTCAGGCTGCACAACACCCAGGAGTCTTCTGGCAGAATGTCCAGAGAGCTCTGCAGAGAGGAGATGCTCTGACCGAGAACACAGACCTGCTGACCGGACCAGCAGGACCCTGAGAAATGAAGCAAAGCTTTAAATTAAAGAATAAAAAAATTGCAAATGTTAAAAAAATAAAAACAAATCCCTGCCATTATCATTGTTCCTTAATTTGAAGAAACRTGGACTACTTTAACCAAAGACATTTCAGTGATGTCAATAAGGACGAGTTTAAATTTTATTCATACTAATAAGATTTGGCTTTATGACCATGTAGATCTGCATGTTACATATAGTGACAAAAGTTTCCCAGAATTAATCTTCAAATAGAAGATTTGAAAGAACCACAATTCAGTTTATATAATATCTGAAATCTATAAAACTTTATTTCTCGTTTTCCACTGAGTTCACTTTCATTCTATAAAAACTTAATGATTAATGTCTTACTTAATTACTTACATTAGTTCTGTCTACATGTGCCATATGAGCAAATCATTGTGCTTTTACACATAAAAATGTTTTCATTTTAGATGTTTAATTCGTGATCTGTGCTTTGATATTTTGTAATTCATTTTTTTATATTGTCTTCTTATGTAGTGTTTTAACCAAAAGCAGTTTTTTCCCATGTGCCATACAAATAAATTTAAATTGCTCAAAACATTTAAATTCACAGAAATTGTTCTCAGGTGAAACAAATTATGGCTAATTTTCAATTTTTATTTTGTCACTACCCAGAGAGACTTAAAACTTCCTAAAATTGCCAAATGTTGACATTTATTTAATTTTTTGTATTGTTTCTGAATAAATTGTTATCCCTAAAAGTGTGTACTTTTTAATGAAATACAGGTTGTCTAATAACTTTATCTTGATATTAATACTTATAATGTAAAGTAAAAATGTTTTTTAAATACTTGAGATATAAGTTTATACTTGAGACCTGCTGACTGGACCACTGGGATGCTGAGAAAAATCCGATGGCACTAAATGATGTATCATGTTTTAATGAAATTAAATAAACTGCCACAAAAAGGCAGTTTTTTTAGATTTGCTAGTTTTGATGAGATTCTTCAGTTTAATGTACATTCARCGAGTAATCTCTGAAAAGTTTCATCAACATTTGTCAATTGGTTTCTGAGATATTTTGCAAGCAGTCAAACCACACAAACACACGCACATATTTGTTCTTCTATTTTCATGGGGACTTTTGCATTGACTTCCATTCATTTACTGGTCTTAATTGGGACTGGGCTTTTGTCCCCATTAGGAACAGTGGGTCCTCTCAACGCTGTGTGTACCAGGAAAATGGTCAAAAGTCATCCACGCCGGTTAGCAAAAACATGTACACACACACACATACACACACAACTGTCTGCCTTTTATAGCGGCATGCAAACAAGTATTTACTTCTCTGAAAAAGAAAAACAGCTTTCAGTTTCCAGTGCACACAAGCAAAATGTCTTAAGCAATTCTATTTTTAAGTACCGAGTTCTGCTTTTCTGTTTGTCCAAAGCATTTGCAGATTACAATCAGTTTTAGAATGGTGTCTGTTGTTGTTTGCCACAAAAAAAGAAGTAACTCCACTCAGATGTAACTTTAAGCTGCAGTTCAYTGACTTTTACAGAAAAGTAGAAGTGAAAAGAACAACTTTGTTCTGTGTTTTACAGCGAGGCGCAACGTGAACATCATCTGTGAGTGTCAAAATATTTTAAATTCATTAATAGGTATTATTTCTTAAAGTAAACCACGTAAAAACATAGGTGAAATCTACTTTCCTGTTTGTTTAATTTGGCTAAAATGTGGAGTTTTTTTTTATTCTTGATAAAGCAAATGAGGAATCTCTTGAAATTTATGAACAGCAAAAAGTTCTTTGCATATTTATTTTACATGTAAATTTTTTTGAATTTCAAAAGAGGCCAGTAAGATGTTCATCTAAAATTAGTACAATGTATAAAACTGTTTTTTTTTTTTAGTTTCATGGAAATTTGACAGTTCACAAGTTAACAAGATACAGCGGGTAAAATAAGTATTGAACATGACACCATTTTTCTCAGTAAATATATTACTAGAGG